TTCAAAAACTTCTAGAAAGAAAGAAATAACAATATACATGTATGTATATATATGTATATATATACACAGTTAGTTTTAAAGCAAGCCTACCGCCCTCGCACAAACTCAGCAGCACGGCGCAACGGAGTAACACGCACCTTTGTGAAGGGCATCACCTCACCATCGGACATAATAAACCCCTCGACGGCCTCCAACTCAACCGCTCGCGCCTTGATGTAGCTCACAAAGGGCAGATGGACGTGTTCCCCAGATTCCATTTTGCTAAAAAACTTCAGGAATTGGGCACGGCCGCACTTAACATCCCTTTCTCTGGCGAACACCACATCGATGGCTCCATCACTCATGTGAGCCAGCGGCGCCATCATAATATCCTTCGCGGCGTCGCGAATGTTGCTTAAGAAAATAGCGTAATGGCTTCCATCAAGCGCCACCCACGGAAGACTGTCATCCTCAAAGTCCACCAACTCGCCCTGCAAAGTGCCGGAGGCGTCGCTACTCACCGTGTCTTGAAGAGGGAAGGTGAGCGGGTCCAAGTCCCGGGCAAGCTCGGAAGTTGTCGCGGAATCCTTGTGGGCTCGGCAATGCATACAGGCGTCCGTTCTGGTGCAGCGCGGAATTCCCGCCTCGCCTGGAAAGGTGCCCGAGTCCTCCAGTTTCTCCATCTTTTGCCCTTGCCGTCCAAGCCACGGCAAATACCGCAGGCGCACACGATACGAGCGCACGCCTCTCAGGAAGGTGTACGCCCCGTACACGGTAAAGCGACTATTTCCCATCCACCGCAGCTTCTCCGAGCCCCGGTCAATGTCATTTAGGAGACCAAAGGTCACAGACATAAAAGCAATGCGCTCTGCAGTGACCTTTTCCCTCTCTTCCTCCTGCTCACGGTGCGTTTTCCCCCGAGTATGCGCAGCCTTAACGAAGTTGTGTGGGAACAACTTCGAATGCCGGTCATGGCTCTCATTTACAAGGTATTGCATACTCATCAGGTCCTTAGCACACGTTTTAAGATGCACAAGGGCAAGAACGCCTTCCTTTACCGAGATGATGCCGAGCGTTTTCGCCATCCCGCACCCACTGCCGGCAGGGATGGTGGCGACCAACGGCATGGAAAACCTAGCGCCTTCGTAGGCGCTAGAAGTCGGAAGGATTTTAATCCCAAACTGTTGTGTGGATGGCTGTGGGGGATGACTCGCTGTCATTCGTGCCGTCTCCGCATCTGTGCTGCGTGACGCTTCCTCCGCTTCCCCTTGCTCGTGTCTCCCGTCTTCGTCCAGCACGGAGAGACTACTCTCCCCCTCTGCACTCCCTTTCGTCGTCTCTCTCCCGCTCTTGTGCTGTTCTTCCCCCTGCCCGTGTGAGTTGAACGCTTTTGTCGGCCTCGCAGCCTCCTCTCTCGCTCGCATGGCCTGCTTTCGCCGGAAGAGGCCGTTCACTGCCTCGTGGATCATCCCATCCCCCCCAACGCAGACAAGGACGTGCCCACTGTTGACCTCATTCGCGAAGTTGGCTATGTAATCCTCACAGTGAAAGACGCGGGTTGTAATAATCGCGCGCACCTCGTGACGTGTGTAATACAACACCGGCAGGACCTGGTCTTCCGTAATGCTAACGGCATTGCCGGAACCTGACTTGGGGCTGACAAACAGGAAGAGCTGCTTCGCCCCGCATGGATACACGCCGCGCAAGATAGCCTGCACAACAACTCGCACGTCTTCCTGGCTCTTAGCGTCTGGCAGAGGTGCGAATTCCACCGTGGATACTCGCAGCGAGGAACCAGGGCCCTTAACATAGTAAAGGTAATACGTGCACCCGGAAGGCTCAGAGGGTCGCACGCCGCCGGAAGTGGAGCGCGCCAACCCTGCCGTGTCAACGCCGCTGGCAGAACGAGACTGGTTCCCAAGATGGTGTGAGGGTAAAGTGGAGAGGCTTCGGGAGCGCGGATATATTGTCTCCATAAGCTGCGGTGACGTCGTCAGGGAGCCACGGAAGGAGCGACGTTTGCATGGCTTTGCCGCCGCCGTGGCAGCGGGGGCCAGACCCGGCTTGGTCCGCCGTGCCTGGCGCAGGGCGCCCTCCTCCGGGGTTTCAATGTTCAGGACGAGCCACGTGGAAAGGTTCGCGAGGTTGACCACCTTCCCGCCCGAATTCGCCCGCTGCAGGAGAACGCGCCCCTTCGCCCGGTCGTACGTCAGCGTGGCCTCGCGGCGGCGGTACCGCACCCGCGCGGAGCAGGCACCGGGGGCCGGTCCCGCCGCGTCGCCCAGCAGCGCCGGCGTGGCCCCCTCGCAGTGGCGGGGACACGTGCCGCTCGTCGACGGCAAGGCGGCTCCCTCCTCCGTGCGTGACATGTGACGATGGGCCAGACGGAAGGAGAGAGAGAGACGAAAAATAGCAAATAAACTTCTAGAAAAAAAAACAGAAAGAAAACAGAAAGAAGGAAGCGCGGGAGCCTATTGTTTTTTTTGTTTTTGTTTTTTGCTTCACTTTTGTGGACTTCTTCGGTGTTGTGGTGTTGGGGCTTCGCTCTTTAGCGGTTCCGCGCGTTGAGTGCCGCGGGACGAACACGACAAAAAAAAGAAGAAGAAACAAAAAAAAAAGGCGGGGATGAGGAGGAGGAATAATAAACGAGGACGCGGCCCACGCCGAGCGCCGCGGGGAAGCCCGCCTCCTTTTCCTGCGCCCCCCGCCCCGCTTGACACAGCAAGACAAAACAACAAACAAACAAACCAAAAAAAAACGAGTACACAAGTCGAGAGAGACCCTCGATGGAGCTCCAGCTTTTGTACATCTCTTCACACGCCGCAGCGCGCTTCACACGGACGCCGGAAGAAGACTTATAATCTGCTGCGCCCGCTCCAGCAAAGCCGCATCCGCCGGGAAGTTCCGCATAATATCCTCGCACGCTTGCCTCAGCGTCGGGGATTCCAGCTCCTCCTGGAGTTCCACCGCGCCCCACGAGAGCAGCGCCAGCACGGAACTGCTGCACACCTCCAACAAGGCCATTGCGGCGCTCGAATAGCGGTTCATTGACTCGCAGGCCATGACCTTCCCAAGGACGGTGAGCACCTTTCCCGCTACCAGGGTCTCCAGCAGAGCATTCCCAGCCTCGCCGCTAGAACCGGCGTAGTTGGATGCAACCCAGGGAGAGAAGACGCCGTCGCCCCATGCAGTCTCCGAGGCACGCGCTTCCGCTGGGAAGTCCTCGGCAGTCACCGAGTTCTCGTTCCCGAATGCGAGGAGCAGCTCACGTAGCAGCGTCGCCAAGCCAAGGAACACAAAGGGATCCTCGCTATTATCGTTCATCCGGTCCACAACCACGTTGGTGACGTCACCTCGAACCATGGCATGCGCGTACCGAATATCTTCCTTGGCCACACATCGCAGCGCGAGGGCAGTATGACGTAATAAGAAACGCTGGTCACGATGGACGCGAAGTGCCTCAATCGCCAATGGTATACCTTGACTGTGGGCAAAGATTTCAATAGACTCCGCATGCACTGGTGAATCCGACGCCATAACATTGTACAGACAGCAAAAACCCCAGAGCTGAATAGCGCCATGATGCGAGTACTCGTTCATAATCTCTAATACGGTCAAGACTCCATCACAGCGAAAAATGGCCTCCCGATTCGATGTGTAAAGTGAGGATCGAGCCAGAACAGTAAGGGCGGCCAAGACAACCTCCTCATTTTCAGGGTACCCATCAATGATCTCTAGCACAACGCCAATACCCCCGAGAGAGGCCACTTCTGGTAAGTAGTTACGGTGCTCATGCGAGGTGATCTCCTCCAGTGCAAGTTTTGTCAGCTTCGGCACGTGTGAGAAGGCATGTAGCATAAGAATGAGGCTGTGGAAGCCGTGGTAGAACTCCTGCCATACCTGATCGCTTGCGGGCGCCACAAGAGAGGGGGGCAGCGTTGAGCCCCGGATGTCGCTGCGCATGCGCATGCGTTCAAAATCCTCGAACTCGATCAGTTGATCACCCGCGCCTACGTTAAACACGCAGTAGCGTTGATTGAGGTGAAACGGCTGGTTAAACACCTCATCAGGGACCACGGCATGCATGTCAAACTTCGCCTCGTCCACGCCGACGTCAACGACCGGCGGACGACACACACCCAACACGGAGGACTGGAACAGGTGACGCACAATGGAGGAGATGAAGATGCCGTAGCTGTGGTTCCCGCTTTGATGCTGTAACCCTACAAAATCCCCGCGCATGTCAAAAATGGGTCCTCCGCTGCTGAATTCGCTGGCTGGGTCAAAAAAATCATACTCGCATGAATCCCTCCCCACCTTCTTCACTGTCTGCACCACGTAGTGTCGTTCCTTGCCGTTGACGTGCGTAATCATCAAATGACGGTCCCCGACACGCACTGGGGCGATGCGAGACAGCAGCAGTGGCAGCGGCAGCGGCTTAATGAGGCGCGACTCCCGTTGTTGCGTCGCCGAACGCCCGCCAAGGCTCCCTGTACCGGAAAAAGATGGCCCCACAGCGATGTTCGGCCTCTCGTGCCGCCCCGACGAAGGGGCCGAAAGGCGGGTTTGGACTGCAGGGGCGACCGGAGCTGTGCAGGCGACGCTCGTGCTCGCCTCGGCCGAAAAAACGAGCGAGTGTCCAGCCGAATGGGAGGATCTGGTGAAGGAATTGGCGGGCGCACCAGAATACGACATTGGATTCATTTCGCAAAACGTCAAGGTGTAGCCCAACTCCTCCTCCTCGGCGTCCTCCTCCGGCAGGAAACTGCGGTGCGACGGGGAGCGCGAACTCCCACGGGTGGCATTGTAGTCCACCGAGCGGGCGTTGCCGGAGACAGACATAGACGCCCCCCCGGCGCCCCACTTGTGCCGCGTCCTAGACGGGGCAGCGGAGGTGGAGCAGACAAACACCTTGTCCACAGTCACGGGGACCTGCAGCGGCTCCACAGAACCTCCTTCTCGTGCGCTTGTCCCTGCAACCGGCTGCTCCAGAAACGTCACCGTCACCCCTTCCGCCTCTCCTCGACTGGGGAACACGAAAGAAGTCGTGAGCAGCACACCGGTGCTGTTGCGCCGCAGCTGCGGCTGTTGCTGCCCGTCCTGGAATACGCCGCAGCAGGCCGCGGAGTCTGCCGACGGAAGAGCGACGAGGATGGCGGAGCCGCGCCCATCCGTCACACGGCAAACGGCGTGCGTGAAGTCACTGATCTTCTCAATCACGGACCACCCGTCCATGGACCGCTGCACACGATTGTCGAGGACGTGCTGCCGCGGTGGCACAGCCGCAAACCTCATGCTTGACATGTGCACGGCCTCCCACTGCGCTGCTGGTGCCACAGCCCCCCACCCCCTGCGGAACTCGCCGCATACGCGACACAAAACCAACACACAGAGAAGCGCGCAAGGTAAGAAAGGGAAGAGTAAACATCTAGGGCCCAAAGCAGAGACGCACAGGTGCTCTCACCTCAACGCTTTCCCTCCAATCACCCTCCCGGCGGCGCACAGGTGCACATACACAAAGAAAAACAAAAAGAAAATGGGGGTAGGCAGAGACAGGGAAGAATAATGTTAGAAACAACAAAAACAACGACAGCAAACTCCCCCTACTGTGAAAACAAAGAAAAAAGCAGCAGAGGCAAAAAAAAAACGCAAGTCATAAAACTAAAACTAAAAAAAAAAAAACAACGCGAACAAAATAACAACCGCAACATCACAATATTCAAGCCAACTCCCATTAGAATGCGTATCTCCTCAGTACATGCAGCGCAATATCATCAGCTGATCCAATGGGGTGTCAGCGGTGCAGTAGGGGCAGCGTGCGCTCGTCGCTTGGGTCCGTGAGTGGCGCTGTGGCCGCTCCAGCAAAGACATTATGGCCCGGTTAGAAATGACATGCCCGCAATTGAGCAACAGCGCAACATTGAGGGCCGGACGATTGCTCGACGCCGACAGCACGTCTTGAGGTCTCTCCGGGTTGACGTCAAAGAGAAGTGTGTCGAGGCAGCGACGGCGCGTTACTGGGCAGTAGCACATGCTCTTTTGGAATAACGGCTGCCAGCGGAGAAAAGATTCCATAAATAGCGTGGGGTTCGCCGAGTGAAGGCAGATGGGTTTCTGCGGCGAGAGCAGCGAGGGCGTCGCGCGACGCCGCAATTCATCCTGGTGTAGCAAAACTGTGGTGGCGTGGGGAAGCTCCAGTGTGATTGCGTGCTGACGCCGACCTTGCGGGCGCGGCACCGATTGCCGCTGTGTGGAGGAGACGTTATTGCTGCTACTACTACCGCCACCACCATCAACGCCACTGCTGTTGCCGCCACCGGAGGACTCGTCGGCCGCAGGACGACTCCGACCCCTGGAGCTAACAAAACCGGGGAAGAGAACCCGAAGTGCATTCACAGTATGCGCGCGCGCACTCTCCGCGGGGGCGCTACGAGGCTGCTGCTGCTGTGGCGCTGGTTGAAACGGGGGCAGCGGCGGCGAAGTCATTGGCAGCTGTTGCTGTTGCTGTTGTTGCGGCGGCGGCTCCTCTTCAAAGCCGCCGACAAGGCCCTTTTCGCAGTAGTCGTCGAGACGGCTTAGCATAAGCGTGCTCAAGGGATAGACGAGACGATACAATAGATTTTCTGGGTGTGGCGTATTGGCCTCAGAAGCAGCCGCAGCAGCAGCAGCAGCAGGGACGGCGGGCGTCGCTGTAGTTGGTGCCATCAACATCTCGAGCTGACGCAGCTTGTAGACCTGGTCTAGCAGGTCAGTAAGCACACATTCTTGCCAGACATACGGCGTCGTGCATATGGGTAGCACTGGCGAGCGCTGCGGAGTACCTTCCTCGTCCCCCGCGTCGTAGGGGAGGCCAGAAGACACAAAGGCGTCCAAACCGTGACACCGGCGCCCACCCCAGAGGTGCAGAAACGGTGCAACACATGAGAGCAAGTGCTCCTGGGCGGACTGTGCGTGGGCCGGGAGGTCATCCTTCGCCTCCTCATTATCGTTGCCGCGGAGCTGCTGCTGATGCCGCCTCCGTCGTTCGTACTCGTGCAAGAGAAGCGGCATATAACCTAACGCGGCAAAAATGTGATGAACCGTGAGCAAAAGTGATGGGGATTCCATCTTGTCCATTTGTGCTTTGGTGCCCTTCTTTTTTTCGTCGGCGTTTGCCCGTTGAAACTCCTGCTCAAACGCCATGCGCCACCCCACAAGCGGATGCCTTCGAAAGGTGAGGACAAACTCAACCGCGCGCTGCAGCTTCACGCTGATCGATGCCTCCTCCCCGCCCGTAACCATTTTAGACAAGCGCTGCAGTGCACAAATGATGACGAGGTCAGATAAAAGTATTTTGGCCTGCTGTGTTGCGGCAGCCAGAAGTTGCACGTTTCCCGCCTCCCTAGGGTTCGCCGCGGCACCGTCCCCACCATTTTGCAGTTCCACCCCTCTCTGCTGCTGCTGCTGCTGCTGCCGCAGGGGGCGAGGTGCGGCGGTGGATCTCTCCGGGTACATCACCACGCCCACCTCAACTTCTTCCTCCTCCTCCTCCTCCTCCCCTTCCTCTTCCTCCTCCTCTTCTTCTTCCTCCTCCTCCTCCTCTTCCTCTTCCCGCTCTTCCTCGGTTTGCTGCTCGTGTTCCTCTTCCTCTTCATCCTCCGTGCCCCATCTAACCCCTTCCAGAGGGGAGCCGGACGCCGCACGCAGCCGTTCCGCCGCTCCGTCGCCTTGACCGGTCCCGAGTAGTTGCTCTGCCCATAGCCTGCTCACCCCATACTCCTCCTCGACCGCCGGCACGGCTTCCCACGTCCCCGCAAACATAGACAGAAGCTGCGCCGCCATCCGGCCTTCGCGCCCGCTGTGTGGACGCTGAAGACTGTACTCGGCCGACTCCGCCTCCGCCTCCTCGTTCGCCACCTCCGCCTCTGGTTCCCGGGGAGGAATGTCCACTAACCCCAGCTCCGTAAAGAGCGAGAACTCTGCAAACCCCTCACTCCTCCCTCTCTCGTCGCCTGGGCGCCGCAGTGAGGTCGCGGCGTCAGCCCTTGGCGAGGTCCTTGTCACCGGCTCACCAACCCCCAACGTCCAAAGGTGATTCGAGGCACAGTTACTGCAAAGGCTCGCGACTCGTAAAATCCACTGCACCGTTTGCGGGTATGTGTTTTGCACAAGCTGAAATAAATCCCCCGTATCATCAGCCTCAGCAGGGGGATGCAAAAGGCCACGACGAAGCTCTTGCGGAATGATCACGTCAGACGATGTGACTTCAGCGGAGGAGTTTACATTCGCCCCGACGGTTATTCGATCGTAACAGCCTAGCTCCATCTCCATTGCGGTAGTCAGCGGGACGCCATCGTACTGCAGCTGTCGAAGCAGCAGGTCATTCACCACCGCATTCAGGCTTCGCTTCAATGTTAAGTGTGCGTAGCTTGGCCCCGCCGAGGGGGCGCCATCGGGGCGTGTGGATGGCGACTGTGAATTCGGAAACAACGAAGACCACCGCTCGTCGCCGTCGCAGCCCGCACACTTCGAGGAAGCGGCCCGACAGTGCGCCTCACCTGACACCACCGACGTCGTGTTGGCAACACGATCGAGCTCCATTGGGTCCCAGCGGACAAATCGTGACAAATACTGTCGCACGTCCTCGTAGCAAATGTGGCCCCCAACCGGTGTGGAATTCTCCGCCGTCGGGAGACCCCCGGGAGCATTCGCCGCTGCTGCCGCACAGACGCGCTCGTGGTGCTCGGGAAACATCTTTTGATACAATTTGGACACGTCCACGGCGAGGTCCACGCGGCGACGCAACTGCGCCAGGCGGTCGTGGATGAGTGTGTCGCAGGCATCCACGTACTTTTGCAGCTCCGCCAGCGGCGTTACAACGGCCTCCGCGATGGAGGCGGTGGGATCGGGTTTCACGTTGCCGCCGCCGTTGCCAGCACCGCCGCTGTTGCTGAGGTCTTCCTCTGGAAGGAGGGCGCCCAGTCGCCGCATCACACCGGCGGTTTGCTTCACCCGGTCCTCCAGCTCCAGTAGCACCTGCCGCAGATCCGCCGTCTCAGACGCCATGTCCACGTCGGGGGTTTCCATCGCTGTGTGAGACTACTGCTGTTTTTTTTTTGTTGTTTGTTTGTCTCCTTTTCTCCTCTCTCTCTCTCTCT